GCATCCACAGGTTTCCGCAGCCCGCATTGGCCTGGAGCGGCGAACCATGGCCAGTGGGAGCCGCAATCGGCCGAACCTGCGGACGTAGCAGGTAAACAAACCAGCCCGGACCGCCAGGGGCTTTCCCTGAACAAGCGGCAGACCAGCTTTGAGAAGCACTGGTGTAGATGTTCCTGCTCAGGCTCTGAGATCCAGCCCCCTCACCAGGTTTCAGAGTTCAAACAGGAATGTCTAGCCTACTATTTTTAGCTCTGTACCAGGAGCCTGAGTCAGTTGACTAGGGGTCTGAGACTTGATGCCATGGGTGTGGTGTCCCTTTTTTGTGCTGCAATGTAGTTGTATCCATGGAGAGTTGTGCTCCCTTGTGACATGGCCTCTACTCCTTACAGTTCAAAGGGGAAGCTTGACAATTTAGGGCTAGACTGTGACTAGCCCAGCACCAGTTTACTCCCTTGCTCCTCTCCTCGCTCCTCATTCCCTATTGTATACCTAAGCATGGGGCAATGGTTGCAGTCCTTGTGTTGCTAGTGCGGAGTGAAGTCTAGCTGAGGTTCAGACTAGTACCCTCCTCTTTTCACCAGTCAGCAAAGTTGATCCCTCCTAGGAGGAGGAGGAGGGCACATTTACTCTTCAAAAGCGATGGCAATGGCCACAGGTCCTCTGAGAACTGTAGATGTTACACAGCTACACACAGTCACTCACTCACTTTCTAGTTTGTGACCTAAGCCACAGTCAAGCCCTCAGTATTTTGCTTGGAGCGGTGAACAGTTAAATTATCCTAGTTATTGTGATTGTTGTCTTAACTCCTCTTACCAAGAACTGCCACTTCCTGTGAATTTCCCACTTGTTCCATTTCGAGACTGGATAGTTATTTTGGAGCCCAGCTCCCTTCTTTTTGGCATATGCTGTACTAGTATAATGGGCTTTAATAACTTACGAATTCCATACATTTTGGAGAGAAAAACACATCCATACTCAAGCTGCCTGTTCTCTCCCATTGGTCACTGATGGGTTTCTATAACATTTCCTTTGCCTTGCCTTATGTATGTTTCACTTCTGGCTTTTGTTAACTAAAATATCTTGACTGTTAACTTCTTGAAGTTTTAGTGATATAAGCCAGAAAATTAAATGGAAAAAAATCTGTGTTTTGTTTTTCAGCTCTTCCTCCAAAGCCCCCAAAACCGATGACTCCGGTCAACACAAATGGAATAAAAGACAATTCCAGTTTCTCCTTGCAGGATGCAGAGTGGTACTGGGGGGATATTTCAAGGTAAAGAATGTTTACTGCTGGACTAGAATGAGCCTTTTTAAGCTAGGAGTACTTGTGGCACCTTAGAGACTAACACATTTATTTGAGCATAAGCTTTTGTGGGCTACAGCCCACTTCTTGCTCAAATAAATGTGTTAGTCTCTAAGGTGCCACAAGTACCCCTGTTCTTTTTGCAGATACAGACCAACGCGGCTGCTACTCTGAAACCTTTTTAAGCTGTGCTCCCTTTGAGCCTGAATATGCTCAGACAACATCTCACTTCAAGTGCTCTGCAAAATCTGGGCCTGAATGCAGTTCCTGAAGTGTATGTTTAAGTATTCTGCTGAATTGGGAACTGAGTGTGTTTAATGTGTTCTGCTATGGTTATTGTTCTAGAACAGTAGTTCCCAATCTTGTGGCCACAATTGTTTTCTTGAATTAATGATTCTTTCTACAAAATCTTAAGATTTAAAAAAAAAAACCCTTTCTAGCCTTTCTGGTTGTGAAACAAAGCAGTTCTGAATGTACTGGCTTCAGTTATTAGATGTATTAAACATAGCATTTGGGAATGAGCAATTCATGAAACTTTCAGTAAGTGTGTGTCTCTTATGAAAAGAATAAAACCAATAAATTAAATATGCTAGAGCTGAGAATAAAACAAGAATGTGAGGTGCTGTTTTGGATTGCTGTTTGCTTCGTGGCTGAATTGTCTAACAAAAGATTTCATTAGCCCCACTAGCTTCTTAAAGCTTTAACAGAAGGAAAAAAGATCCGGATTGTGCCACCCTTACATTTTAGTACCTTACTCAAGTAACCCCATTTAGATCAGTGTGAGGGGATAGCACAATTCAAGCCCTTAATGAACAATGGCAAAACCTGATCACAAAACCCAGTGGGCTTGATTCTGTTATCTTAAATCACTTTTACAGTAGTATTACTGTGCTGACCTAATGGCATTGCTCCTGATTTACCAGAATAAATGATCTCCGGATGAGACCACAGTTTTGCAGGAATAGCTTTATATGTACTTTATCCGTTCATTTCATTTTCTTTTACAAAATACAACCCACAAATATATTTCATCAGTTGTCAATCCAGCCACCATGGGCAACAGATGAGCTTTTCATTGCGCCCTAAAAGCCAGCAGACATTTACTCTATTGGACTGAGGACTGGAGAATAAGTTAGGGATCTTCCACAATGAACTCCAGCTCCCTGGGCATTACTAGCGAATGAAAGCTCAAGCATCCTAGCCATTCTCAACTGTTGGAGACATGGAGAGGCCATCTCTGAGATGTGTAAGGCCCAAGCCATAAAGGGTTCTGTGGCAACAATTTCCCCTTTTCTCAGATAACATTCATATCTGTAATGGAAATTGTTCTTTTGAAAGAGATTCTCCATCCAGGATAGTTAAATGCCAACTAAGAAAACTTGTAGAGAATGAAAATAAGATCTTACAGCAATATCTGAATTAAAACATCCATTATGATTCCTTTTAAAATGTAGGTATATTGCTTGCATCTCATGAGTGGTGGTGAGGGTACAGGAGAGTTGCTCTCAATCAAATAGATAAAGTGTATGTTTGTAACTTGCCTCTGAGATCCTTGTGTGACAGATGCTATAAAGGACAAGGTATTAGTTTTGTAAGTAAAGCGTGGTATGTAATTTTGGGTGGAATGCGTTTCCTGAAAGTTTAACGAACACTCTTAGCTCAAGCATTTCATTTGAAATGCTTATGGGTCTTACCCATTCCATAAAAGCTTCTTCCGTTTAATTAAAAGAATAAACCCTAAATTTCTTCTCTCGCAACAGTTGAAAATTAGGAGTAATTCCACTGGAATTAGTGGCATTACAGTAGTTCTAAAACTGCTGTAAAAGAAATACCTGAATCAAACACCTAATTGACCTTGAGACTAGAACTGTGCTATAGTGTGGATACTTTTCTGACACAACTTCTGTGAATGACCGTATTAGTGCCAGTTTCTTAAAGGACCAGAAGTGCCTTCACAAAAGTCACCTTTTTCCAGTTTGGATTTAAATGTGAGCAGATTCCAGTGAAAGGTTTTGAACTTCGTGATTTCTCTGAGACACAGCTGCTACTGTTGTTATACATAACCTTCTTCTTAAACAGCAGTTTAGTGCAGCTGCTGGCTTTTGCTAAAAGGTAAACCAGTTCAAACCGGTCTAAGAGCGTGTCTATACTTACGCGCTGGTTCGGCGGCAGACAATCAAACTTCTGGGTTCGATTTATTGCGTCTTGTCTGGACGCGATAAATTGAACCCAGAAGTGCTCCCCGTTGACTCAGGTAATCCTGCTCGGCGCGAGGAGTACGCAGAGTCGACTGGGGAGCCTGCCTGCCGCGTCTGGACCGCGGTAAGTTTGAACTAAGGTACGTCGACTTCAGCTACGTTATTCACGTAGCTGAAGTTGCGTACCTTAGTTCGAATTGGGGGGTTAGTGTAGACCAGGCCTTAGATAACCTTAAAGGCTAAACAGAAATATTATCCCTATGCGTATCCTAAATCTGAAATAAGAGAATTTGAAAAGCAAACATTCAATCCTTAGATTGCAGTTGATTTTGAAGGGAAAACAGAAAGGAAACCTAATTCCTTACACACCCTGACACTGATGGCCTCTCTTTGAATGTGTCTATTTTAAAGCAAATCGACTATCTAACACTTCTCGTTTATCCTTCTTCCAATCTTTCATTCCTCCAGGGAGGAGGTAAATGACAAATTACGAGACATGCCAGATGGAACATTTCTGGTGCGCGATGCATCAACCAAGATGCAGGGAGACTACACTCTGACATTGCGGTAAGTGTTGGGTATTTTCACTCTCTCGTCTTACCTTGCTTTTAGTAGTCTCACCAATGTCAGTAGATACCACATTAGTATTTACATGAAATGCCCTCAGTTGTAGTCTCCATTGTCTTGGGAACATTTCTCCAGAGATTGCTGATGAGGAGTTTGGAATAAGGAAACAAATGACCAGCTCCTAGCAATTCCATCCCACTTCTTATGCTGAGCCCGGTGCATACTGGGACAGTATTATTGGGATATCTCTGTGATGCAGACATAATCAGTAAAGGTCCTAGTTCTGTATCTCTCTGTGTCTCAGTACTTTGATTTAAGGAGGTTCCGCTAAGCTGGGACACCGCATTTAATGACACCGATTCTGCAGTGTAACTCAGTGCAGAATCTGGTCCAGTATGTTCACAAAATAGTAGGATCAGCTTTCTTCAGAGTTGCCATGTTGTCTTGGAGTTCAAAATCTGCTTACTTTTGTGAGTTTAAAAATGTACTCTTGTGGCCAAATTCTGCTCTGACTTGCACATTGCACAACCACACTGAAGTTACTGAGGATAATTTTTCTATCCAGTCAGGATTTTGCCTTAAAGTCTAATTAATGGTGGTCTGAATTTTTAACCATATAGACATGTATCTGCAGGAGCCATAAATTAAGAAAGCAGATAAAGGACATAGCACTGTTTAAATTTTTTGGTAGTAGGGGGAAAAATAAGCAAGCACTTCTAGAAATTGCCAGCAAACACAAACCTGGATAATGTAAAGTCCTGGATTAATTACCTGTTATAAATCCTTCCAAGGATTTATTTAAGTTTGAGTATCCAGTGTTAGCATCCAACACTTGAGATTGTTTGATAATCGGTTTGCAAGTACATTTTCATTTGTATAATACTTTGATCTTTCCTGCCTGTATGTCCCTCATTATTCCCTCTTTCTCTAAGAGGGATCTAGGCATCTCCTGACCTTATGTGTTCTTTGGATTTTTTATTATAATTTTTTGGGTTAGTACTGAGTTTCATATGCCTAGTTGCTCACCTCGGGGTTTTTTGCGTGGCTGCCTTAAAGAATCCTGAGCATTCCCTTGGAGAATTTCTGGTTAAACTCAGGTCTTAAATACAATAAACTAGTCCCAGAGTGAACACAGGAAGAGATTTACTTTGGGCTTTTCTGCTGCTCAAATAAAACTTGAGGAGACCTTTTCTATTTATTTACTTTTATCCTTTTACATATTAATAAATATTAGATAATTTAGTTACAAAGGTACATATTAGATTGTCTGACTAGCTACAATTATTCTTGTGTGTTGCCTTTATGAAAAACTTAGCATGGCTATTCATACTGTATATGTGGCGGCTTGTGTGTGTGTCTGCGCACGCGCGCTACCCATGCACACAACAAAACCTCTAAGCTAGTGTATTGCCTTACAGGAAGGGTGGCAACAATAAACTGATAAAGATTTATCATCGGGATGGAAAATACGGTTTTTCTGATCCATTGACATTTAATTCTGTTGTGGAGCTGATTAACCACTACCGCCATGAATCTCTTGCCCAGTACAATCCTAAGCTTGACGTGAAGCTGATGTATCCAGTATCCAGGTATCAACAGGTGAGGTTTCCAGAGAGCCCACTAACTGTTAGCAGATGTGTTTTGTAGTTTTTTTCCTTGCCATAAAACTTAGGCTTTTCTATCTAGAGTCTGGATTTTTCACATGAATCATGTGAAAACTCAAAGCCCTTTTATGCTTGAAAATTCAACTTCACATTTTCAAGGACGAAGTAGTGGTTCCAAGAGTGCATGTGGTCTAAAACAATAACCACAAAGTTGGGAGAAGGAGGTCCTGACCTCTACTTTGAGTACTCACACTGACAGTCTTTATAATTCTCCAGCTACGTAAACATTAAATTCTGCTTCACTGCATCCTTATGATGTAGGTAATTGTCATTGCCTGTATTTTACAAGTGGAGAAGCTGAGGCTGAGAGATTTAGTGAATTACATGCAGGGCTCTGTGGTCTAGGATGCAAAGCAACTGTTTATGTACAAAATATGTTAAAATCAGTCACTGGCAAAAATGAGAGTGGCACCTGGCTCCTTGCCCTGTGCTCAGTTCTCTAAATCCTGGGGTTTTAGGCTGACACCTACTCCTTCTCCTCCATGCTATGCAACAGTCTTTTAATGCTGAGCAAAATGTCTCCCAAAGTTGCTGCAGTTTTCCACAAGTTCTGTGAACTCTTGTTTTTAAAACAAACATTTGATCTTTCCTGCCTGCATTATTCCCTCTTTCTCTAAGGGGGAATCTAGGCATCTACTGACCTTATGTTGCCTTTGTTGGGGTTTTATTACAATTTTTGGTTTAGTTCTGAGTTCCGTATTCCTAGTTGCTTTCTTTATAGACTGTGAAACTTATTTTTTGCTTTGTCCGACTAGATCTCTCTTCTATACTTGTAGAAGCCTGATGTAAAAATTGCTGCATAATTGATCACAGAAATATGCACACTTACTAGGCTGACAAGGAACAGTGCTTGGAGAAACTACTTTGCCTAAAGAATTACCTTCTTTCTTTCCTGATATACACAGGATCAGTTGGTGAAAGAAGATAACATAGATGCCGTAGGTAAAAAGCTTCAGGAATACCACTCTCAGTATCAGGACAAGAGTAAAGAGTATGACAGACTATATGAAGAATACACCAGAACATCACAGGTCAGTTTTCAAAATAATCTTTTGTTGATCATTACAGCAGCTGTCTGAAAAGCTGAACTTCTATCCCTAGTAAGACAGTGAAACAAATTGTTTAAAAAAATTTTTTTTTTTTTTTTTTTTTTTT